TAACAAGTCAAAAATTCATTTTTATTTTTAAAACATACATAAAATTCTAACAGTAAAGTGGAATAATAAAAATTCCATTTATTAATACAAAAGAAGGCAGGAAATAAGGGGCATGGGAACAAAGAAGGGAAAAATCAAAAGCAAATAGCAATACAGTCAACTTAAGCCCAGCTGGATCGTTAATATTAAGTGTAAATGAACAAAATATTGTGATTAAAATTCAAAGATTGATTTTTCACACATTAAAAAGATATATTCTTAAAAATATGCCAGTAATTTACAACTTACATAAAATTGATAAATTTTTTGAAAAATACAATTCACCAAAAGTAACCCAAGAAGAAATAAAAAGTAAAAATAACCCTATATCTATAAAGGAAATTGAATTTGTAGAATTGAAGGTGTAATTTTAAACCTCACCATACAGAAATCCAGCATTTTCAGATTCTGTGTAGGATGCAGAAAGTCGGAAAGATTATGACCCCAACATAACAATAAGAAAAAGCCAGATAATCTACAAAATCATAAATGTGTATGAATCCTTTAGAAAGCTGAGATCACAGGTTAACCAATTAGCCTGACATTAAGGAAAAACAACTTCCACCCAGTTGAGACAGGAAGCAAGCACTGTTTCACCCAAAGCAGGGCATGGAATGAGACTAGCTGTTACACAAGTGGATAAAATAATTCATTTACATCTTTAACTAATTGCTAAAGACTTGAGTGTGAGCTACTGTGAGAGTATAGAAGCTCTGAGAACGTCAGATGCTAAAGGGGGAGTTCAAAACCACTCATAGACACTTCCCTATGGATGTTCACTGTGTGATCATCAGAAAGATTGGGAAAGAGGTTGGAGACCACAGAAAGTTTACTTCGTAGTGCAGGCATGGAGAGAATAATTGTTGTTGTTGCAAAAGAAAAAAAGCAGGAAGTTCCATTTGAATGCCTTTAACCTGCAGAACAAAAGCATTAATCCACTGCAGGAGAGGCATCACTCTGACAGCCCCAATGAATAGGTGAAGATGTATTGCAACTTGATGAAAGATAAAGGGAAAACAACAACAAGAAGCAAAATAACACTAAACCTTGAACATGAAGAAAGAACAGGAAACTGTCTTGGGACCAACAATTAGAGACCTACTACATCAAGTGAAGGGGCAGGTGCACTGAGAGAGCCCTACTTCTGAGACCCAGGGGCATAGGGCCCACCTAAGACTGAAGCTGGACAGGGACAACAGAGAAACCACCACATACTCACCTTCCATTTCCCAAACACAAGATTCTAAATGTGTATGCCCTTAACACTTGAGCTTCAAATACTCAAAGCAAAAACTTACAGTACTAACATAAGAAATGTAAAAATATGCATTTGTAGTTGGAGACTTCACTGTCTTTAAGTAATCTATTAGAACATAGGAAAGGATAAGGATATAAAGACCTGAACAACACTATCAACAATGTTGTCCAAATTGACATTTGTAAAGCACTTCTGCCAACGATAACAGAATACACATTCTTTTCAAGTGCACATGAAACGTTCATTCAGATAAACTATATTTGGAGTCATAAAACAAACCTTAACAAATATAAAAGAATTGAAATCATGCAATGTGTGTTTTTGATCATGACAGAATTGAATTAGACATCAATAATAGAAAAAAAGTGGAAAAATCACCAAATATTTGGAAATTAAACAGCAAATTTCTAAATAACAAATGGTTTTAAGCAAAAAGAAATTAGAAAATATTTTGAATTTAATGAAAATGAAAATATATCAAAATCTGAGAGATGCATCTAAAGCAATGCTTTAAGGAAAATTTATAGCATTTAAGGTTCATATTAGAAAAGAAAGTCTTAATAGCCTTAACCTTTATTGTATGAAACTAGAAAAATAACAGCAAATTAAATCCAAAGCAAAGTAGAAGGAAATATACGAGGATAACAGCAGCAATCAATTAATTTGAAAACAAAAAAACAATAGAGATAAAAAATGAAACCAAAAATTGGTTCTTTTAAAAGATAATAAGTTAATGAACCAAAAGAGAGAATACACCAATTACAAATATCAAGAATGAAAGAGAATAGCACTACAAACCTTATAGATGTTTATTTTACATTGTGGCCTCTTCTTTTTTCTTTTTCTAATTTGCGACAATTTTATCTGGTTGCCATTCATTCCATGTTTGCTTCAAGAAGGAAGAAATTAATATTTAGAAGGTAATATCAACAGTATTTGAAAACTACTTGAAAAGGAGAGAAGGAAATGAGGTAGAGAAAGTCAATTAATTAAACAGAACCTTAGCCTGATGCCAAATTCATAATAGAAATTTTGTTGATAATGTTATTTTCTGCAGAACATGAGTCTGAGTGAGATAATCAACTGGGGCATGCTAAGTTTTCATTTATCTGAGGGACATCCAAATAAAGATGCCTAGTAGGCAGATAAATATGTGGTTTGGTGTTTGAAGGGAGGTCTGAAGTAGAGATTCAAGTTTGGGAGTCGCCAGCATACAGGTAGTATTAAAACCTGGGAGTAGAGTGGTGATATGTAGATTGAAAAAGCTGAGACCCAGGATGATGTCTTCTGACTTTCTAAAAGTAGTTTCCAATTCGTTGGTACCATAAAACACCACAGGGAGCAGTCCCAAGTACCAGGAAAAAGAACTAGCATAAGCAACTCAAGACTTTTGTCCTCAAAGAAGAACCTAGAATAGCTCACTATATTAAAGTGGGGTTGGCGCTGTGTATACAAATAGTGTGCAAGTGCATGCAGGCAATTCTTGGACTTAAACCTGTTCAGAAGAGAATAAACTTTCTAAATAGATTTTAGCTCACTAAAAAGTGAGCTGAGGAAAGTCTAACAAGGGTAATAGTGGAGCTGCCGCATAACCAGACTATATTGTTAGATGTGGACAGCATTGTTTGTTTTCTTGTTTTTTTCCATAAGTATAATAAAAGACTAAAAACAAATGATAAAGATTATGATGTTTTAAAGGTATTGCTAGAATGTTATCAATAAATATTCCAGAACAGAGAAATATTCCAGGCATATGAGCATAAGTATATTTATAGGGAGAAGATCAATTTTCTGCAATTATCTAGAACTTACATTCATACTATTGTACGCTATTACATCCATCTCTCAGTGTCCAAATTCTTGCTTCCATTTTGAAAACCAAAGCTGGTTTGGTGAGAGAGAAATATTCTCTTCTGTTAACTCTCTTGTAATGAAAATCTTTTTTCTCTTATTTGACAGCAAGAATTCTCCTTATATGATTGTGTGGAACTATAAACCTTCAATAACATCTGTGAATCCTTTTAGTGAAAAATAGTGTTATACTTTTATACTTTAGTTTGCAAAGAAGAGAGATTCCCTCATGGTACCTCGAGAAAAAAAGACTCCAGTAAAGCTTCATGTGAACTGAAAATGGAAAACTATCAGGTGCCCAGGGAGCTTGAAGGAAGAACTTTTCCCTTCATCTCCGCAATGAGCTACATGATTTCTCTCACAGCACCTTCACTTGCCTTCACTCATCTGCTCTGATTGCCACTTGACTAACTGGCCACCTCTGCCTAGTTATCTTTTCTGTTTCTTTACAGGTCTGTTTTGAATGTAACTTCAGCTTTCCATGGCCCTTCAGCTCTACCTCCTGGCATCCTTTTCAATTCTCCCATTTCTATCTCACTCATTATTTTCAATTTTAGGTTTACAAGAATAAGAATGCTTGATCTAGCTCATCTTTTCTGTCAGTTTGTCTTCAAGGTCAGCCTAAAAAGGTCAGCTATTTTTGAGTCAGGTGCCCTCTCTCATCCAAACATCAGTAATTTGATCATTTAGTCCAAAACTCGGCCATTTTGGCAGAAATGGATAAGCATTTTATCTCTTCAAAGATATCCACATAGTAAGTTTTCAAGGTTTGACCTTTCCTGTAAATATTGCATAGACTTTAATCCAGATTTTAGTACGTTATCTTGCATAATAAATTTCTATCTTTTGTAAATTAATTATTAGTATTTAGAAATACATATTTTGGGGTGAAGTCAATTCTTTGGTATTCCCTAGCTTACTATCTTCCTCATGTAGAAATAGAAAACACAAATAATCCTTAGTTGAAATATAAACATTTCAGTTTTAGTGAAGTGTACCATTACCAACTTGTAATGGTATTACAAGTCATCACTCTGTAGACACCAGAGTGACCCAAAATGCTCCACAGTCTAGGTAAACTGCAGGAAGTAGGCTTAAGGTTATTTAACTTCCAAACCCTAGATCTTTGCTCTGACGGTCACTTCAAATTCTACAATTTCAAACACCTTTGAAGGCATTCAGTTAAGGCCTATGGCCTCTAGATGGCCCTCTATCTTTTGGGAATGCCTTAAAGTCCATTTCATGAGGGAAAGTTGAAGCCAAGAGATCTTTCTGGGATAGCACATGTTACCCTGTATCTTTGCCCAAGGAGTTCTTTCTGTAGCTTCCTAGAGTATACCAGAATTAAAACTTTCTCTCCTTTGATGATTCTCTCCAAAGCAAGGAGTAATATCTGTATTACTTTTGCCCACACATGAGGGCACTTGATTTTATTTCAAGCCCTGGATTTTAGACATACCTTAGCATTTTGTGAGTTGTACTTAAAATCCCAAACACTTCCTAGGAATTCGACCATAATCTCCTAAACTCTGTCCTCACCTACAACACAGTCCTTTTGGCTTTCAAGAACTATCAGCAATCAGTTTCAGATGTGTCGTTCCTTTGTATGTAATCAGATGAATCTGAAAGTGGAAAGTTATATGTATTAAAGTGAGGAGATGGGTAGAGGAAGGTGGAAATGAAGAAAAAGAACAAATCTGAAAGGAATCAGAGAAACTGTATTCTGATACTATTGTTTAGATTTCTAAAGGAAATAGAAAGATGTTTGGCAATGAGAGAAATCAGTTATGATTTTTAGAAGATGGTTTCCTTCAGCATTTAAAAATGTTTTTGCTTTGTTTTAATTTTCAAGATGATTATAGAGCTTGGGACCTTCATAAAAGTGAACTTTATAAGCCAGAACAAACTTATCAACCCCCTACTGTGAAATTTGGAAATTCAACTACATTTCAGGATGACTTTGTTCCTCAGGAGATAAAGCCTAGGCAAAGTAGGCAAAGCTTTAAACCCTCCTCTGTGGTCAAACTTTCTACAGCCCCTTTTAATGGCATTACAAGTCATCGCCTTGATTATATACCTCATCAGCTTGAACTCAGGTTTGAAAGGCCAAAAGAAGTTTACAAACCAACTGAGCAACACTTTGAGGATCTCACAACTCACCGGTATGACTTTCAGGGTCTTATTGGTGAAACTGCAAAAATCTGCAGACCTGTACACACCAGAGTGACCCAGAATGCTCGGTTTGAAGGAAGCACTGAATTCCGTGAATGTTTTCAACCATGGGAAATCCCACCACCTGAGGTCAAGAAAGTACCAGAGTATGTGCCTCCTACAGGTAGCATGCTATTAAACAGCACAAGCCATCTTGACTATGTTCCGTATCAGGCCAACCGTGTAGTTGCCATCAGGCCAGTTTCTCATAGAAGAAGTAACAATTTTCCTTTCCAGGGAAAAAGCACCATGAAGGAAGATTTTCCAGCATGGGAAAATTGTCGTCAAGGAGTTATTAAGAAGCAGCAGATTCCCGACCCATCTGGAAAATTTGATGGTTTGAGCACTTTCAGATCTCACTATGTGCCACACAAATTGATTCCAACAGAGAGTTACAAACCTTTAAATATTGCTTTTAAGAGTTCTGTTCCATTTGATGATGTGACCATGTACTCTATAGAGTACACACCAAAAATACAGGAAATTTGCCCAGCAAGTTACCCCTCTCCTCCAGGTTATATTTTTGAAAATACAAATTCCCAAGGTCATAAATTCTTCCGCAAGATTACTCCCGCAGTGAAGGCCTTCTAATAACCAAAATGTGCTTAAAAGGAAGCTACTAACAAGTAATTGTTTTTCCAAGAGAAAACTCAACTTTTATAGTGAAAAAAATTTATGATATAAGAAATCTTTTTTTTTTTTTTTTTTTTTTTTGAGAGGGAGTCTCATTCTGTCGCCCCGGCTGGAGTGCAATGGTGCAATCTCGGCTCACTGCAAGCTCCACCTCCTGGGTTCACGCTATTCTCCTGCCTCAACCTCCTGAGTAGCTGGGACTACAGGTGCCCGCCACCATGCCCAGCTAATTTTTTGTATTTTTAGTAGGGACTGGGTTTCACCATGTTAGCCAGGATGGTCTCGATCTCCTGACCTCCTGATCCACCCATCTTGGCCTCCCAAAGTGCTGGGATTACAAGCGTGAGCCACCGCACCTGGCCGATATAATAAATCATTTTTTATATTTTTAAACAATAAAATTGGAAAATTTATTTTAAGAAATCAGAATCTTAAAATCATTTTGTATTGATATTTTAACCAAGATTGTTCTTTAATATGCATTTTGGAAGGTTGAATAATATAGATTCCCATAGGTACCATTTTAATATTCAACATACTGCTTAGTAGTTTGTCCCCAGTCTATTATCATTTGTAATTCTGTTTATAATTATGGCAATTGTATGGTTATTCACATACCAGCTGTTATTTATCAAGCACATCAGGATTATCTAGGACAACATTGAAAATGATACATGAATTCCTCTTTCAAGACAATAGGATTCATTTTACTCAGACTTTCATGCATCTACATAGCATCCACTGAGTCAAGTTTTGGTTGGTGGTATACAGACTGCTGCACTGCTCCTCACCATGTTCAAGTTAGCAAGAGGCACTGTGGTGTGGCAAGGAAAGGCTCTGTGTGCTGGGAATCAATGGACTTGAGTTCAAGTTCTATTATTTTTAGAGACAGGGGTCTCACGGTCACCCATGCTGGAGTCCAGTGGCATGATCATTGCTTACTACAGCCTCAGCCTCCTGAGCTCAAGTGATCCTCCTGCCCCAGCCTCCCAAGTGGCTGGGACTAGAAGGGTGTGCCACCATACCTGGCTATTTTTTAAAATATACTTTGTAGAGACAGATTTTTGCTATATTGGCTAGGCTGCTTTTGAATCCTGCCTTGGCTTCCCAAAGCACTGGGATTATAGGCATGAGCCACTACAGCCAGCCTGAGTTCAAGTTCTAATAATATAGATTGCCATTTGTACTACCTTAGACAGTGACTTAAATCTCTGAGACTCAGTGTCTTTGTTTGTAAAATGATGTCTGTTCTCAAAAAGAGTTGGTTTTGAGCATCAGACTATATGCTACATTTTAATCCTTAAAGTACAAGTATAAATGTAGAGGATTGTTAAAAAATCACTCAATCTCTTTTTGTGCTTGTTTTCTCCTTTTCAAATGAGGAAAATTACTTACTCAATCCTCATTTTCTGGCCTGTAGCAAGGATTGTAAACTAACCTAATTTGCTTTGATCTTCTGAGTAGTATGTGCTTCTGAGAGGAGTCTTGTCCTTTACAACTTCATGAGCACCTGAGAAATTGTTAACAGAGAATGGAAAGCTCGGAATGGGGTAAATACAGTGGTTTGAGTAACAGTATTTGCAGAAAGGAAAAAGTATTTGCTAGGGTAGTTTTAGGAAGTTTCAGGAAGACTGACAGCTCTGAAGAAATCTTTAGGGTAAATGTAGGTAATTTTGAACCTAATTGCCATGCCAAGTCACTGTTCAGAGGCAGAACCAGCCCCTGCAGGGGGCATAATCACCTGGTTCACCTCTTCCAGTGTGAAGATAAGTGCTAAGGAAAGGAATGATGCCAGGAAGTATAGTAGAAACACTCTATTGCATTTAGAAATGCTGAAAATTTCCTAATGAATTAAACTCTTATTGGGTTGGTTCCTTTTTTAAAAAAAATAAATAATTACATTATGAGAGAATATGATTTTAGCATAAAGCGAATTTTAGTTTTTATGGCTTCATAATTATTTCAAAATATATTTTATTGAAAATCATTAATATTTGGTTATTTTAATTGTTCAAAAGAAATTGTTCTTATTTACATTTATTAGTAAAAGTATGGTGTGTGAAACTTTTTATTTCTATGCAGCAGTAATAAAATCAATAAAAGGAATGGATTTTCAAGTATTCTGTACCTAATTTTTTTTAAAGAGAGCATTTTAATAAAGTCCTGTCTAGGTTAACCTATACATAAGTAGATGTTCTTACTTTTTAAATACAAAACAATAATGTATAATCAGAATTAAAAATAAGGGAACACTACAGCACTGTGTCATCCCGTCCCATATTCCAATGCTGGATATTCAAATCCCTCTGTAATTTAATGGGGGTGTTCTCCTCCCTGAACAAAAGTCACCCTTATAAGACATCTACTAGAGTTTCCAGAGGCAATGTGCCGTGGGATAAGGATTGAAGATGAATAATGGTGTTTCCCCATAATCTAGCACTCAGTGTAACAGGTGTGAAAACAGATTGAAACAGAGTACACTGTAAGACATGTAGCCTAGGAGTTCAGGAAAGTCTTCCTATGGAGAGGATAGACAGGTGAGCTGAGTCTTGGAAAATAAGTAGGAAATTGCCAGATCAAGAAAAACGGGAAGGTGGGAACAGCATAAAAAGAGGTACAGAGGGACTCTCTCTCTCTGTGAAAGAGTTAAAGGAACTTCCAAGCTATGTTGGTGGACAGCTAGCAATCCCTGATTCATTCTCCTCTTAGGCCTCCTTGAAATACTATGCGGGAACACATACAAAAAACATTTTAACAGGGCTGGAAACTAGTAATATTACTTAGCAACCTGCCAGATTCTAGAAGGAATTTCCACTATGCCAAACTTGGATAAATCTAATGAAGAAAGGAGGAAAATTCAGAGAGAAAAGATGGTAGATTTCTACCCCAGCCCCATCCCATTTCCACCGTATCTCTCTGGAAAAACTTGTTGTGTAAAATAAGACCACAGATGTATTAGAAATAAAGGCTTTATGATTTATAAAAACTGTACAGACAATGGAAGGAGTAAACCCTAATGTAAACCATGGACTTTGAGTGATAATGTGTCCATGTAAGTTCCTCAACTATAACAAATGTACCACTCTGGCTGGGGTTGTTGATAGTGGGGGAGGCTGTGCATGTGTTGGGGGAGGGGCATATGGGAACTCTGTACTTTCCACTCAGTTTTGCTATGAACCTAAAACTGCTCTAAAATAATAAAGTCTATTTTGAAAGTTTTCTTAAAAGCCCTTCAAGGCAGGAGGGAGATATTCAGTCAGAGGTTGGGGAACCCACATCCCAGCTTCTAAATATCTCACGTTTGCAGACTTGCTTTTATACAAAACTATAATCTAAGGCCTTCTCTGAGAATCGCTGTGTGAGAGGATCCTCATGATACTCAGGAAGTGGAGGGGAGACCTCTGGAAGCTCAGGAGTCGAGGAAAGTGAACCTTGCAATCACGAGTTAGTAACTTCAAAAACGCTGTTTAAAAACATGCTGATAACATGCTTTTGAAAGGGTTGCAGTGTTCAGTAAAACATCAGAACTCCTTCATTTTGTTAAGGCTTTTGCTTTCTTTCCTCTGTCATTCAATGCTCTTTTGCATGCAACTGCAGATTTTCATCCTGTATCACAGACACAGGGCTTTCATCCATACTATCCCTCCCCAGCCTTCTCATAAACACAGCACACAGCTTGATAGATGCTCTCTAGGGTGGCCAGGCGTATTTCTCCATCCCATCCAATATCTATGTTAAGACATCTTTTTCTTTTCTTTTTTTGAGACGGAGTCTTTCTGTGTCACCCAGGCTGGAGTGCAGTGGTGCGATCTCAGTTCACTGCAACCTCTGCCTCTTGGGTTCAAGTGATTCTCCTGCCTCAGCCCCGCAAGTAGCTGGGACTACAGGTGCATGCCACCATGCTCGGCTAATTTTTGTACTGTTAGTAGAGACGGGGTTTTGTCATGTTGGCCAGGTTGGTCTCAAACTCCTGGCCTCAAGCAATCCACCTGCCTCGGCCTCCCAAAGTGCTGGGATTACAGGCGCAAGCCACCGCGCCTGGCCAAGGCTTCTTTAATTGTAGTCATCATGGAACTATAATGACTAACAAGGAAATGTGGCTGGGAGATGCTTACAGACAGTAAGCAAGCAATAGGAAAACCAAAGCAAACCAAACCCAACCACAAAAGCATAGGTAAAAGTTCTAAACAGATACTTCACCAAAAAAGATATACAGATAGTGTATTAATTTGCTAAGACTACTATGAAAAGTACACAAATATGGTGGCTTAAACAATAGAAATGTATTATCTCTCAGTTCCAGAGACCACAGGTCCCAAGATCAAGGTGTTAGCAGGGCTGGTTTTGAGGCTGTGTGGGAAAATCGGTTCCGTTTTTTTGTCCTAGCTTCTGGTGGTTTGCTGGTGATCTTTGGTGTTCTTCAGCTTGTGGAGCTCTGTCTTTATCTTCACACAGCATCCTCCCTGTGTGCATGCATCTGTTTTCAAATTTCCGCTTTTTATAAGGACATCAGTCACATTGTATTAAGGCCCATCCTGATAACTTCACCTTAACTTGATCTTTTGTAACGACTCCATTTTCCAATAAGATTATATTCATAGGTAGCGAGAGTTAGAATTTCATTTTTGGAGGAGACACACTTCAACCCAGAAAAGATAGTGAAGAAGCACATGAAAAGATGCTTAACATCAGTAGTCATTACGGAAGTTCAAATTAAAAACGCACTAAGATACCACTATATACCTACTAGAATGGCTTAAAGAAAAACAAAAACAAACAAAAAAACCACACACACACAAGCCTGATAATTCCACATACTAGCAAGGGTCTGGGACAACTGGATCACTCATACATTGTTCATTAGAATGCAAAATGGTACAGCGACTTTGGAAATCAGTTTGACTGTTTCTTATAAACACGCATGTATCATATGACCCAGCAAACTCACCTCTAGGTGTTCATCAAAGAGAAGTGAAAAGGTAGGTTTATGCAAAAATGTGTATATGAATGTTTATAGAACTTTAATCACCCCAAACTGGAAACAACCCAGATGTCTTTCAACTGGTAA